GAGAGAGAGAGAGAGAGAGAGAGAGAGAGAGAGAGAGAGGTTTTGGTCTTCTGTCTGCGCATTTCGTTTCTCCTGTTTCTGTTGTTTCGTCACTTTGGTGTTTTTAACTTTTTTAACCTTTTTTTTTCTATTTTCGACTTTGTTTGAATGCTTTCAAATCATTCGGTATTGTTTCGCCACATTGTATTGTTTTGACATGCTGGTGTGTTCTCAACTTTCCACATTATTTCGTATTTTGCCCTGGAAGCTTCGGAAACAGCAAGTGCGAATCATTCACTGTGTTTTCAAAGTATTGTGGTGCTGTCAACGTCTCACATCATTTGGCACTGCTTTGCCTCATTTTGGGCCTTGCCGGACCACTCACCGAATGTGAAATGGAGAATATATCTTCCTGTAGAACACTGAAGTATTCAGCCACAATATTTTCGCCTTTTCACATTTGGTGAGTGGTGCGGCAAGGCCGTTTGCTCGGTATTGTTTTGTTAGATTGTGCCCGATATTGTTTTGCCACATTGTGTCATCAAGAACGTATCCGGTCTTTTTCAGTATTCCCAATCCCGTATCTGTTCACACATGTGAAGGAGGAAGAAGGGGGCGGAGGAGGAGAGCTGGGCGCTCTGCCTGGCTATGGTGAGCAGCCCAGCTTGAGGAGGAGGAAGAATGGGGCGAAGGAGGAGAGTGGTGAGGTACTTACCTAGCTATGGTAGACATATCTTCATCACCTTGCTAGGCGCTGTGTCTGGAAGGCCCTAGTGCCACTCCAAGAAGGCTTCAAGGCAGAGTCAGGCATGGCGGCCTGAAGAGCAGTGGCCATAGCTGCTATGCGTTGTCTTTTGCCATCAGGGCAAGGCTCTTAATAGTCCGCCATAGCCTAGGCCTGTGAGAAGTAGGAGACGAGGGAGGCCATGGCTATGGTGGACCTATTGTTGTGATGGAAGTCAGAGGGAACTTCGGATATTGATTCTGGCTTAACCATTCATTGTTATTATTATTATTTGGTGAAGAATAAGATTCGCAGACACAAGGACGAGGAGGAGATTAGAGAGAGAAGGGGGATTTGTTATTAATCTTGCTGGTGTTCTTCTTCTTCTTCTTCTTCTTCTTCTTCTTCTTCTTCTTCTTCTTCTTCTTCTTCTTCTTCTTCTTTCTTCCTTCTTCTTTCTTCTTTTTCTTCTTTCTTCTTTGGTCTCTATCTCTTCGCAGTGCTTTCATTTCTTTTGCAGTTGGGTGGCATTGTCTTTCCTTGTGAATTTGCACTTCAAAAATAGCCAGGATCGTAACACCTGTTTTGTGTGACTTCTATGTGTAAATAACCTTACGTAATCCATTTGATGTAATGGTATAGTCGGAAGGATAAACAAGCAAATGGTTTTCTACCGTAATTCTTCCTAAAATATAGTACATTTCTTCCCATCTCCCTCCTGATTCCGAAGAATCTTGCGTGTTTTTTTTTCCGGTGGGGGTGCAGGTGCGTTGGCCTCTTTCGCTCGTGATTTCAAGGAAGGCGCTCACAAAATACCAAGTAATCTTCAGGCACTTGTTTCACTGCAAACACGTGGAGCGCCAACTATGTCTGACTTGGCAGGCACTGCAGGTCAGAATGGAATCCACTTATAAGTCCTTAAACCTCTTAATCCCATGTCTTTCCACCCCCTAGAAAATTGAACAACGGAGGGGACCCTAATACATTAGATGAATATCTGCACTATATATACTATATGACGGCAATCTTCTCTTGGGAGTATGAAAGTGATGGCGGCGAACAATCATTTACTTACCTTACCATATGGTGCCCCGCGCCCCATCTGCAAGGAACCGGGCAACGAGCGTCCGATTTTTCGTTGCAGAGAAAAACACAAAGCATAACAAGCACATAAGAGGAAAGTCGAAAGCAGATTACAAAAGTGGAAATCACACCAAATGAGAACACAACCATGCTGGAGTCTCTCAATATGGAAAGCCTGACAACGCACCTCCACATATCAAAACAACAATACAACATAGATGTTCCCTTGTGCAACCACGTATACTACTTCCTGTCTCACTCTGCCTACTTCGTACTTCTCTCTCTCTCTCTCTCTCTCTCTCTCTCTCTCTCTCTCTCTCTCTCTCT